GTGTAAATACATCTAAATGCTATTTCAGATGCAGATTCCAGAAATGTTTTCTTATGTTGGAATGAAAGACACTAAGTACCGGATGAAGTGCTTCTTATTCTTACCCAAAAATACAAAATGGAAGAAAGAGTTAAAATTGAACACAATCTTGCTACTCAAGCTGTGTATGAACATGTTTTATATATATTTATTTGCTTCTTTTCCATTTTGCATTTACTTGTACTTTTACTTTCAATACTTAAGTACGTTTAAGATTAAAAAAATACTTTTCGTACTTAAGTACAATAAATATCACATACTTTAAGACTTTTACTCAAGTCATATTCTAAACGGTGACTTCAACTTCTACCAAAGTCATTTTCTGGTAAGATATCTATCTGTACTTTTACTTGAGTATGGCTTTCAGGTACTTTATACACCACTGGTCAGAATGAGAGTCCAAACAGCTGATAATAACAACACCAGTGTTGGGCAAGTTACCATGAATACTGATTACTGATTACTCCTTTTAAAAGTAATCACGTTACTGTTCTGATTACTTTATTTTACTATATTACTTTATTTAATCTCCTGATTACGGAGTGCTTCATCAGAGTTAGCAGTGGCTCTGGTTTAGAAACGCGACATGAAATGATGGCACAGTTTTGCTCTTAATCTTCACCTCTGGGCGAAGGGTTTTGATCAGGCTGCTCTGAGAAGAGTGCAGAAGGAAAGGCTCGGCGCGCTGTGTTAATGCAGCTGGGCTGAGAGCCAGTCAGAGATGACTTAATGGGGCTACGCGTAAGGAAAATCAATACAGAGAGGCAAGGAGTCCTTCATCCAGCCACTGCTGAGAAACACAGTTGCAGGTCAATGCTCTGCCAGCCCACTGCCGGCTAAATCATTCAGCACGCTCTGAGTAATCTTACATCTTATAAGACATGTAGTGTACGCTAGTGTTCAAAAGTTTGGGGTCAGTAAGTTTGGGGTCTCTCTCTTTTTATACTTTAAAATATATAGTATTAAAAGTACAAAAATGATATTGATCAAAAGTAACTAAAGACATTTAAAATCTTACCAAACATTTCTATTTCAAATAAATGCTGTTCTTTTGAACTTTCTGTGATCTGTGAATCCTGAAAAATAAAATTGATCAAGGTTTCCACAACATATTGGCCATCACAACTGTTTTCAACATTGATAATAATCAGAAATGTTTCTTGAGCAGCAAATCAGCATCTTAGAATGATTTCTGAAGATTTCTGTGACACTGAAGACTGGAGTAATGATGCTGAAAATTCAGCTTTGATCACAGGAATAAATTACAGTTTAACAGATATTCACATAGAACCCAGTTGTTTTAAATTGTAATATTTTTTTCACAATATTACTGTTTTTACTATATTCTTGATCTGATGAAAACAGCCTTAGGCTATGTTCACACTTGACGTCTTTTTTGAAGCTGCCAGTGCCTGTTTTACATTATAATCCTATGGAGTAAACTGTGTTTTCAAAAAAGTCCTGAGCGCTTTTTTTAAACGCTACCGCTGGCATCTGCAGCTCAGAGCGTCAACTTTTCTAAAAAAAATAAAAAACCCTACGTCAAGAGCTTGTTTGACAGCTGATCAATGACAAGCGAGTAGCGAGTCGTTGCCATAACAACAAACACATCAAGAAAAAATGGAGAAGATAGATGGATCGTACTTGTTTCGGAGCACAAGGACTTGTTTGATATGAGCACAAATTCTATCTAGTCTAAAATATAATTGTTATTATATTAATAATAAATTGACTAAATTGTTGTAAGCACCATACTGTTTCCTTCCTCATATAATGTCGCGCACCCACAAATTTAATTGTGAACTGACATTCTGCACCCCATTAACTTCAAAAGCCAACGCAAGAGCCAACTTTTTACTCTTTCTCAACATTTCTGTAGCACACACTAGGCTACTGTTGCAGCTGTTCTTATAGCAATAAAAGATGCCCTCAGCTGCTATTTGTAACCAAAACACTTCCAGCTTTTTATTTTACTAAAAAAGCGCTCTTGTCAACTTTTTCTTGTCAAAAAAGATGCCAAGTGTGAACATGCCCTTATTGAGCAGAGACTAGCAAGAGACTTCTTTCAAAAACATTTAAAAATCTTACTAACCCCAAATTCAATGCTAGTGTAAAATAAATAATGATATAGTGAATATAATGAATATAGAAAGTCATGTAGAGAGAGAGAGAAAGGGAGTATTCTCTTAAAGTTAATTTTGTGTTGATTAGTTCATATTTTTAATTTGGAAGTTGAAAGCATTAAAAAGGCTTCACAATATGTGACACAAGTTTAAAAAGAGACTAAAAAAAAACGTTTGGATTCTAAATTCCTACTGGATGAGTCACATTCAAAGCTGTAAAATAGTAAATATGCAAACCATTGCATAAACTTTGCATTGTGCCCACTCCATATTTTTTACATGACTACATGTTTCTTGCTACTGTCACATGAAGAATACAGTCACATGAACAGAATACAGTCACACTGGCCAGCTCCAGAGCTGAGCTCCTCACCTGTTGAACCAGTCGTCTGTGTAGCGCGGGTACGGGTACGGGTCGTTGCTGCTGAAGTCAAAGCTGGCTTCTGCGTTCTGAAACATCAACAAGAAATACAGCATCTGTCATCACACGCCGCAAACTTACGAATTAGTGCCAATTATGTCAAAACAAACAATGAGCCTATTTCAATAATTAGTCATTCATTATTTTGAAACCAACTCTGGAATTTCGATTGTGCTCACACCCCTGTGTGTTTCCGTTGCCCCTCATTAAGCATTCGTCTAGCTATTCCTTAATTAACCATCCAGCCGCTCTCAGAGGTAATATATTTGAGCACGGCGGGAAACACGACACTGAAACCTAAATTATGTGAGGAACTTTATTCTGGTCTGGCAGAGAGATGAGATACAAAAAAAAGGTGATGACAAAATCTAATACCACTGTATGAGTCATTGTGTCACAGTAATGGTGTATATAAGGATATGCATGCAAATTCAATCAACAAATGTTAAGGCTTATTTGTATGCAATCCAGTAAATTAAAAATGTTTAATTCTATTTTAAGTAAACTGCAAGATCACATTGTTCATATCATCACCCTGTAGCGCCATTTTGGAGAGTATCAGCTGAACGTAAACAGCGTATGCTGTTCTGTGTCAGCTGCGTCATGCCGGATCTGTTTCCTACGTTGTTGTGATTTGATCTGAACGAAAACAGCGTATCCGCGTGACGCAGCTGACACAGAACAGCAGACGCTGTTTACGTTCAGCTGATAGGGGGTTATTCTGCGATAACAACCGGCTGGATGTACATTATCCCACTTATTACATGGCTACTTGCCACATAAGTAAATAATTAGTCACGAAATATTGATTTGGGTTGAAATATTTGAACGCAATAAAGTTTCCGTGAAAACAGCAGCTGCGAGCAGTGGCAAGTTCAAACTAGACGGACATTTAAGGGATATGGTGCAGTCAAACCACTTATTACACAACATTTCACCACATAAATAATTATGATAAAAGATATTGATTTAAGATTCAAATGTTTTAAAATCTTACCAGTTTGTTAGTTATCTTATAATCCATTACAGTATACAAAACAATCGTAGCAAAACACGGTTGAACCCCTGATGTCACATGGATTATTTTACAGATCTCCTTGCTACGTTTCTGGACTTGGGAACATTTCAGTTGCGTTGCTGTCTATGCAGGGTCAGACAGCTCTCAGATTCCATCAAAAACATCTTAATTTGTGTTCTGAAGATGAACGAAGGTCTTACGGGTTTGAAACGACATGAGGCTGAGTAATTAATGACAGAATTTTCAGTTTTGGGTGAACTTACCCTTTAACAGCTTTTCTCAGCATGGTCCACCATATGCTCTTTCATTATCTGGAGCATTCATTACCCAGAGAGCCCCGAGCGTGGCCTTCCTTAGGCCAGAGTTAAAAAGATGGCTGAGTCTGGTAGTCAGGGCTCCAGGCTGATGAGGATGCAGTCTGGCATTTACCACGATGACTCAGTGGGAGACAAAAGGAAGGCCTTTCGCTCCCGAGGGCTGGTTTAATGACAAGTTTGGAGCAGGTAACTGGGAGGACAGAATGGCTTAGGGGAGGATTTCATACCGCCGGTCTAGAGACGATATCGATCATGAATGCTGGACCCTCAAAATGAGATCCACTGCTCCAAAACCAGTCCACAAGATTTGCAATTGTGTTTGGATTATGTCACAATTTATGCGCCCACATATGGAAAACACAATTGAAAATACAATTTGCTATTCCTTTTGAAAATAGTCCAGAATATCCTTCCATATTATATAAAAATAAGACAAAAAATGTATTTAAAAAAAAAATGTTTTAGTCGCCATATATTGAATTTAATTCTAACTGTTCTGCTAGGCCACATCAAGTCAAGGCATGTTTTTTGTTGTTGTTTTATAAAGTGAGCAACATACTTGAAAATGTTAGCTTTCACATCAGTAAAACAGCAATTATTATACATATCGCACACCTAGCCGGATTTCTTCTGTCATTTAGTCTGTTTAAACTCCGCCCCTTTCTTACAGTCCAGTGTAAGCTCGTTTTCAGATCTGCCTCTATCAACAACCGATCTACAGAACCAAGTCCCAAACTACATTTTTTTCAATAATCAGTTTCACTCGTTTGTAGGCCACAAAATAGAAGAAGAGATCTGTCTCTACTTCCATTTCATTGGGACTCTAATCATTAATACAAATACTAATTATTTAAATTTTATGATTTTTTCCAGTGTTTCTGCTTCGGTGTTCCATAGAAAAAAGAAAGCTGAACAGGTTTGAAGTATGATTTTTTATGTTCGTGAGACCTGTTCAATGACATTAGAGCTCTGCCAACAATGCCACTGCCACAGAATCAAAAAAAGAGAAGCCAATTTCTTCTGTGAGTCTGCGCTGAGAGAAAGTAGAGCATGATAATGGCCAGCGGTCCCTGAGCGAATGGCCCCCGGAGCCCCTGCACACAGCCAGAGCACAGGAACTAATGACACATTGGTTTGCTGCGCTTTACAGCAGCGTGTCTGTCTTGGTAATCCATCACAACGCAATCACGACATTCACATCCATCCGTTCATCTGCTCTCTGCTGCCCAAGAGAGTTCATTAATGGAGAGCAAGACCAAAACATGAAACCGAATCAGCACGTCCAAACGCCATCAAAGATACCGATATTCTGAATATGCAATGTTTACATACATACATCTTCAGCGGTTATTTGGCTGAAAAATATCATGTGCACTCAGCCAGTCATTACTGCAAAATTATACCCAATAAATGGACTCTTGTATCACTCTCAAGAAGTTTGTTAGCCGTTAAAGGGAAAGTGGAGGGCCTAAAACCTCCTGTAGCATGGTAAATATATCTGAGGTCAAAGTTTAAACTGCTCTGAGGACCTCATGTGTGTATGACAGCATTTTAATCACCATGGAAACTGAACACCATCGAGGAAAGCAGTCGCATGTTGAAAGAAGCAGCGCTCTGTTCTTTGGCAAGTCTCCATTTGGCTGCTGCCTGGAGATTGCAGTTAGCGAGCGATGAATTAAATCCAGTCTCCTGTCAAAAAATCCTTCAAACGATTATGCTAATTCACTCCTCATCCCACATTAGTCCTTAGTAGGGAAATTATCCTGAATCTATTTTTAACCCCACAACTTCAGCCACACGCAAACACTAAAAACAAACGTTTACATGCCGTCTTTCGGCGAGTATAATTCTGCTACAAAAACAGCGGTTCTGGCGAGGAAAGTCTGGGAGGAATTGGTGCTAAATAAAACAGTAGCAGGGGAGGACATGCTGAGTTACTGCCTCATCTGGGCCCCGCTGGAGATGTCAGCATCAACCCCCACCACAGCTGAAGCCAGGTTATTTTTGGGTTAAAACTCATCTGTGGTGCTCTCGCGGCTCACAGAGCTCAGCGGGTCTCAAAACAATAATGGCTCTATTTCACTGGCAGATATCAAGTGCGTTTCATTTGTGAAATATTCTGCAAGGATGCAATTCTGCTTCCGACTCTTATTTCAATTCCATCGTGATTTCTTTCAGTCATTTGGAAGGCCCTCCTCGGTAAATACTGTATATACTAAAGAAGAAATCTACACAGAAACAACACGTTTATTGTTACATAAACAGAACTGCAAAAACACTCTCAAACACTCTCCCTATCTTTCACTGGCCAGGCAAACATATAGTCGCGGCCAATCTCACACTATTGGCTGAGTCGGTGTTGCCGGTTTTGAATTTGATTGTGCTGGTTAAAATGGGGTTGGGCAGGTGGACAAAGTTTAGGCTGCTTTGGGAGCAGTTTGGCAAAGTTACATGTACTGTACTCCATCTAGTCATCCAGTCAGCCATCATGTTGTTATTAAACACACACAGCAGCTGGTGTTGACGAGCCGCACGTTTAGCCAATCAAGAGCAATAAAAGACAGATGTGATACTTTATGAGTGACATTTTTTAGCACAATAAGGGATCAGATTTTGAACTTGTAGTTGTATATTCCAGTGATCGCTACGCCAAAGTAGCATAAATATAAGTTGTAGCTACAGTAAAGAGTGGAAGAGTGCATCAAACCATGGATTGTTCTGTTTGAGGTATCTGTATCTGTGTATTTTGTCAAGTCTTTGAATTTGAATTCCACACCCAGTAAACATCCTCTGGCTCCGCCTGCTACAGTAGCCACGCCCCCGAACTCTCACTATTGGCTGTGCGGAGGTATGCAAATACATATTTTGACAGGCAGGTAAGACATCCTATCATTGCATTCAGACCAAATGCAAAGATTGAACGAACATTTTATGATCCTGAGGCTTCCACAGAAGATATATTTATATATTTTAATATTTAGACTACTTTAATTATTGATTGCTATCAGGATATTAAGAGACTTTCAACCAGTCAAACAAAAAAATGTTTCTGGGAAAAACTACCTAGCCTACCTTTAAGGTCTTTTAATTTCTTGACTACCGTTTGCAAATTCTGACATACTTTAATAGTTTCTACCCATATGGGTAGAATTTATTTATATAATTGCTCATTTTCTTCTACTGTATTTAATACGTTTGATCTGTTTAAATGTGGTATTGTTCTCCTGTCTGGAAAATTGATTCATTTTTATGACTTTATTTTGTCAGTGTCAACCTTTGTTCACATGGCATTAGATTTCTATCAAATGCTGTTGGTTGTGAATTTTTTGACCAGGTTTTGGAGAGCTTTGGGGCTGGAAATCACCAACCCAATCTGTCAACACACGTCTCTTCAGAAGGCTTAGATTAAACCGCTTGATTCATACAGATTATTTTTTTCAGATCTCTTTATTAACTTTTTGAAGGATCAAAGCATGATTGCATGGACTTTCAATGGAAATATGTTAGATTTCATTAAAAAAAACCTTCATTTGTGTTTCAAGCTTAAAAGTTTTATTGGCTTGGGATGATATGGGGGAAAGTAAATTATGACTGAACTTTTGGGTATGTATTAAAAAGAGCTACTTCATAATAGTCAGTGGTTCATGAATTGGACTACACTGGTCGTGCCATATGTTTGTTGTTGTGTGCAACCATTGAGGACAACACAAAAGAAACATGCATTAACTATTCATAGACTTTGTGGCACAGAATCACTCTTTCTCATCTCATTCAATTCAGACTAACAAGCATACAACTCTAAACATCATAACTAAAACATTACTGCTTTTGCCATGACACTGCCCTCAATATAAGTGCAGGAAATGCTGTAAGAGTATTTTAGCATGTCCACATCAATAAAAAGTAATGGCTGACTGACAGAAGCATGTTTTCAGAGACACAGGGTGAAGTAAAGAGGGAAAGAAATTTGCTATATGTATGGTTTGATGTGTGGCAGCATCTCTTAATTGCAGAGGTGCCAAAAACTCCCATCTCAGAGGAGAAGATAACTCCACCATTAGCTGCATATTTAATCGCACACAGCATGCAAATGTGTCATCTGTTTGAACAAAAGAAAGCCTGTTTTTGCAACCCGTTTGAACGGGGATCATTGCCATACGCTGGATTTAGTCCACTACATGCTGTACTGCTTCATAAGCCACATGAACATTAAACATTAATTAGGTTGTGAATCGCAAAATGATGCTTTATTTTGCTCTTGCTTAGTGCTCAACATTAAACTTAAACAGCCAGTTGGGAAATCTGCCACTAGCCAAGGTCTAGACATGTGAGAGGACAACTCAAGATCCATATGAGTCATTGAATATCATGTTAACTGTATATATGATAATAAAGTTATTGTTGTGAAACCAGTACTTCCCCCTCCCTTATTTTTCCTTTGCACTGCATCTTCCACAATGCCAAGCTAACTACACTTGGGGGTGTACCACAGGGTTCCGTTTTAGGCCCTGTTTTGTTCTCCCTTTATCTTCTTCCTTTAGCTATGATTTTTTGTAAGTATCAGATCTCATACCATCTTTATGCAGATGATATACAGCTTTATCTTCCAATGAAACCAGATGGCAATATATCTCTCCAGTCTTTGATTGATTGTATGAGCAAAGTTAAAACTTGGATGGCGGAACATTTTTTACAGCTAAATGATTCTAAGACTGAAGTGTTGGTCTTTGGACGGCCTGAATGTGCTTCCATCCTATCTAAAACTCTGCGTCCTATAACTAAAACTGCAGGCACTTGTGCTCGGAATTTGGGTGTTATTTTTGATCCGGCACTCAAATTTGATAAACAAATAAGTTCAGTTGTGAAATCAGCATTTTTTCAGCTTAGGATGATTGCTAAAATAAAATCTTTTCTTTATTTTAAGGATCTGGAGACTGTTATTCATGCATTAATTTCAACAAGATTGGATTATTGTAATTCATTGTATCTAGGAATTACTCTGTCTTGTTTATCTCATCTCCAGATGGTTCAAAATGCTTCGGACAGATTTTTAACAGGGACCAAAAAGAGAGAAAGTATCACTCGAGTTTAGAATTCAGTTTAAGGTACTACTGTTTGTGTATAAATCTGTGGCAGGGTTGGCACCATCTTACATGTCTGATCTTCTCTCGTTCCATGTGACTAACAGGCCTTTAAGGTCATCAAATTCTTTATTGTTGTCGGTACCTATGACACGCTTGAAACTCAAGGGGATCGTGCTTTTTCGATGGCAGCACCTAAGCTGTGGAATAATTTGCCATTGTATGTAAGATCAGCCTCCTCTTTTCAGGTTTTTAAATCATCACTTAAGACTTATCTTTTTAAATTGGCTTATGGTCTGGAGTAAATGCTGTCTAATATTTGATTATGTGTGATATTTCTTTGTCATAAATTTGTGATTTGTTAGTTGTTTTATGTATTTTTTTTTTTGTACAGCACTTTGGTGGTTATTAAATGTGCTATATAAATCAATATTTGATTATGTGTGATATTATCTTTGTCATAAATTTGTGATCTGTTTTATATGCTTAGTTGTTTTATGTATTTATTTAATTTTTTGTACACCACTTTGGTCGACCCTGTCGTTATTAAATGTGCTATATAAATCAATAAAACTAAACTAAACTACACTTGCTGTAATCTAGTGCACTACATTACCCACACTCATTTCGTCAAGCTCCATAAGTAGACCTCACTTCCTTCCTTTTTTTTTTATTTAATTGAATGCACACCCAACCTTTGAATCCTTTCCAAAGGATGCATTAATGACTTAAGACCATTCTGTCATGTGAAATCAAAGAGAGCAAAGGACTGGTGTTTGTCCCATTTTCTAATCAGACATGCCACCATGTTTCTACATTCCCAATGAACTTCCAATTCAATTAATATCAGATATTTTTGCTGAATATTCAATAAAATGGTTTATCTATTAAATAACCACGTGGTAATTCCTATTTTTGGATAATTCACAGATTAATTGAATAGTACTTCACTGCATTGACATTATACCTTCCTGCTCTAGCACTGGATATCTGTCCATCCATCCAACAAGGTTACTTCAAATCATATTAAACGTGGATCAAATGAGGGAGAAAAAAAGCACTTACGTAATTAAAGGCGAGATCTGGATGTAGGTAATCAATACCTGCAAGGTGATGGCAAAAGGACACATTACTGGACGTTTAATGTTTACATTATTGCACATTATCAAGCCTTTAAGTGTTAATAACTGCTCTCTGGCGGCCAGATTTCACGCACCGTCGTCCATGATGGCGATGGTCACACCTTTGCCGGTGAAGCCCATGTTCCAGGCTTCTGCCACATTGAGATCCAGCCCTGGGGTCCCATCCGCTTGGCCTGTATTTATCTAATCAAACAACACCAAAGCGTCACACGAGCTGAGCATCCATCGCGTGGAAAATGAGATGTTATGAGGGAGGTGGCGCAGGAGGGAAAATAAAGGTCACGCAGATATTACAGTTCGCTGAAACCCTGCTGTGCGGTGTTTATAGCTGACAAACTAAATTAAAGATCGTTCTCCCTGGCAAAACAGACAGGGATGCCTGTCACGATAAGCCCTGGAGAAATAAGGAAGATATCAGCGTGTTTTGACGCTGGCTCACGCACCAGTCTTGACGGTGACGGCTAATGAGGAAAATGGTTTAAATGAGGAGTATCAGCGATCCCGGCTAATCCAATGCAATCGCTTCCAATGCTGAAGGTCAAATCAAATGAGGACATTATGAGCTGTAATTACTTACAAGATACCACTGCTTGGTGAAAAGCGGGTCACTCATGTTGACGTCAATGTTACTGATTTCTCTGTAGCCCCTCTTTTGACGGCCAAAACCCTCCTGAGGAAACACACTTTTCACCTGAAAAACAAAGCAAAGGCAACTTTTATTGGATTTCAGCCTTGCAGACTCACACTTCTGTGCTTGAATACCATGTTTCAGTCAACAAATACCGTACTAAGCGTGCAGCAAAGTAAAGTTGGAAGATAGCACACCTCTGTGCACGTTCTTGCTTTTTTTCATTGATTTTTTTCGCTATTTTGTTTAAGGCAGTTGTAACTAATACAGAGTTCTGGCATGAAACTCTAGATGGCGCAGTCCGATAGGTCTAACTCAATCTGACCTAATGACATCATCACATGGCACAGCTGATTGGTTCTCTCCTGTATCGGTAGCCAATGAGCTCGCTGCTCAACATTCAAATATAAGACTAGTGATAACCTGTATAGATCTGCTACGAGGTGATTCGTGTATGCTATATGGGGGTTATTTCATGTATGTTATATTTGCAGCAGCAATATTTCTTACATGCTCACAGCAGCATGTTGTGGATGTATTGGCAGTAGCAAGTCTCGTTACTTGCTCTGCGCAGCAGCAGCGTAGCAGATCTATTCTGCCAATACCAAATACATTAACATTGTCATGTACATTACCATGCCAATCCCTCCGAGAGTTTTCATGACAGAAATTAATATCATCTTAACTCTCTGGGTGATTGTTTACATCATTTATGGCAAATAAAGGTATTATCTAATTAAATATGCATTAATTTGCATGCATTGCAGAAATCTGAACATTTGATAAAGCCAGGTCCATAACTCTTGTTTGATTTTATTGACAAATTAAAGGTTTTTACACAGGGGATTTTGGATTTCTCTTTTTATCACCCCATGAATCAGAAAAAAAATCCACCATGTTTTTAGGAATAAATAAAATGTTATATATATATATATAATCAGATGAATGATATATGAACAAACCCCTCTTTAAATGCCTTCAGAATATAGATAGAAATAAAACTGTACAATTTGGTGTATGAAAGTGTTGCTGAAATGGAGGAAAACAATGTTTTTACCTGTATTTTCTTTCCTTTAAACATACATTTTTGAGCAAATTCATTAAGTAGGACCTATAGACCCCAATCTAGTGGAAAAGACTGCTGGGAACACCAGCATCCAAAACACAACATCTGCTGGTGATCAGCCATGACATCTCATCAGCTGAGCACAGCACAGAGTGCAGGTTACTCATGGCTGGATGGCTGTTCTTTAAAGCAGCTTCACAGCGTGACCTTTGACCTCAGCAGCAGCGGAAGCCCCTGAAGCCCATCACTGTAAACATGATGTCAGCCATTCCTCACAGACAATGACACTCTCACATTAGCATGTTCGCTCGCTCCAGATAACAGATCAAAGTCTGCACTCGCATTCAAAGAGCGCTTTGATGGCGGCACAAACCAAAATACTGCCATCAAACGAGCATTTTCATTTTCACAGCCATTTTGATTGTTCATTTACATTTTGATCTTGTTTGCATCGCCAAGTGTAAACAGATTAGAGAACATTTTATTGCTCCAAACAGTGATAGCCGATGACGTTTTGATTATTTCTGTGAGCAGATGGGATTCCCGACCTTAGATGAGAGTCTATTGCGAAACATATAGCATTCTGATTGGTCAATACAGCATTCCAGGTGTGTTAAAATATATAATACACAGTCATTCCTGCACAGCATCGCAGAGGCCAAATATAACCTTCGTTTACATACTGTATCTTCTAGCGTAAAGAAGAAACATGTTTTAACATACTTCTATACTCATAGCTAATGTGTAATAAAATTGTGTTTTGAAGCAAAAAAATAAGGACACAAATTATGTAGTAGCATTTTATAATTTTTGCAACTCATGTTGGAATAAATCTGTTCATTGAGCACAATATGTGGCAAATTATTGCAATTATTTTGGACCTTCACATCCATTAAAATATCATTACCAAAACAAAAGCACTAACAATGAATTGCGCAAAGCACTCTGTGAGATTATAAATAACTCTCAGTTTTGCAAATGAACGGCAGCAGCTGGAGCCGCAGGAGAGGTCAGAGCTCTCTGACCCCTTTGATCCAGTGTGAGAGTAAATCAACAGATGAGGTCTCTCAGACTCAGTCATTTGCTCTGCTTGTCTCCTGTGTGTGATGTCTCTGCAGGTAAGGGTCATGCTAGGATACATAAAGCATCCTGGGCGAAATGGAAATCTGGGCCAATTTTGAATTCTAAATCTCAAAACAAATTGGAAAGACCCTCACAAATACAGAACCATGTAATACAATTGTGAACGATACAAAGTTATTTCTAATGCATTACAGATAAATATGAGATGAGGTTATGCTGAATGTCTGTCAAAGCTTAAAATACAGTAGATGATTTAAAGTAATAATTCAGACTACAAACACAATACAGTAATCTGGGTGACTGTTACACTCTCACGCTGTTTGTTTTCAGGTTACAGTAAAATACTGTTAAAATTATTGTATAATTTACAGTGAAAAAACGTATCTTGACATTGCCAGAATTCCCTGCATGACATTTCACATATGATTTTTTTTAATTGAAATAACTTTCATCTTAGTTTTTCTTATCAGTTAATAATAATACATTTTATTTATATAGCGCCTTTCCAGAGCTCAAGGACACTTTACAATAAACATCCAATATGTGAAGATAACATTAAACAATAATACAGAGGATAACAAATCCAGAAATGTAGATAAACTCCGCCCCCGGGAACATTGCACTGCTTTAGAGAAGAGGAAGAGTTGTTGCCATGCCGTCAAAACTAGGGGTGCACAAAAAAAATATTCATATATGAATCGCGATTCTGTCTTCTAACAATAATGGATTCACAAGTTTCAAAATCAATGTTCTAAAGCAGCGGTTCTTAATCCTGTTCCTCGCGTCACCCTGCTAACATAAGTAGTAGCATTTACAAATAACAGCGTATCTAAAAGTATGAGACAACAACAAACAAAAAACTAGGGCTGCCCCCTAATAGTCGACTAATCGTTAGTCGACCAGAAGAGGCTTGCTCGACCAAAATTTTATTAGTCGCTTAGTCGCAGAAAAAAAATAATCCACATTGGCGAAGTCACGCAGATCGTTAACGGCTGGTCTATGGTAATACAGTACATCCGGCAGGACATCCAAACACTCGCTTATCATTCATCCACCACAAATATGGCTTATCATCTGAAATATGGAAGTATTAGCAACTTTACATGGCCGCTCAATCTAATGTTAACCTAGAGAAATGTGTGCTATTCAAGTGTCTGTGCAGAAGCTGAACAGCAGCACTCACTGCAGGACAGATGGAGGTGCCGCTGCGCTCACTTGCTCTTAAAGGTCCCATATTGTCAAAACTGAAATTTCTAGGTGCTATGTAACTACCATATAAGTTTCAAAACAGTCAGTCCACAGTAAAATTCACACAGCCTGCATAAAGTAGCTGTGATTTTTCACGAACCGTTGTGACTTCCATAAAAAGTTGACGTCAGAACTACACAGTCACCGCCTTCAGTCACCACCCCGAGCACTGCCCACAGTCCCACTC